ATACTGACTTCCAGTCAAAAATAAGGAGAGAACGAGGAAAACCGGTGCCCCCATCTAGCAGCAGCGCAGACCACGTCCGTTCCTCACGACGCCCGGAGACCAAATGAGCCAAAATGGCTGCTTCCACTCAAATGAATGTCGTCCGATCCTATGATGCAACGCTCTGTCTACCCAGAAAACGACAGATTTACCAAATATTTTCCTCAGATTGTTCACAGCTTGGGTCAGGACAGATTCATAGTGACATACTTTGAGACTTCTCGTCAGATTTTGTACCGTTGCTGAGACAAAAGAATTTCCCGGTAAAATTCTTCCCTGTGCGACCACGTGGGCCGGGTGTGTTGTGCCAAGCGTGAAATACGATCCATGATTGGGGAAACAGGGAGTGGCAGCACGTGTTGGTCTGCTGTTTTGTGTGCGGGCGCGCCAAAATCCCACATGGCCATGACGCCATCTGGATAGCGGAACCAAGCAGATGAAGGGGAGAAAATCACATTTACCGATTAATAAACAATAAACAAATAAATGCATTAGTGTTGTTGCTTCTTCGTTTTCTTCCCATTAGGATTTGCGTGAATGAGTATGGTACCAATGTGCGTGTACTAAATTCCAACTGTAACTTGACAACCCAAACTCGTTGAAAACCACAAAAGGGATGTCAAAATGTCTTGTGACAGTGATAGAGCATTTTAAGCCATTTTTGGCTGGTTCAGACATCTGGGGGTCAGAGATTCAAGTCTCCTGTTTGGCGTCTAATTTTACCCTCCTTATTACCTTCGCCAAGTCCAAGAAAAGGTTTTCCTCGAGCTCGTACACTTTAGGGATCTTTAGGTCTTTATCTCGCACACTATTATCAAGGACATTATACACAGACCTTGCTATTATAGAACAAGCATGCCATCACTCGCCAAAGACATGTGCGTGTGAAAAAGAAAAGACTTGAGAAAATTTTGAAGATAGCCTGTAAGAAAATAGCCTGGGTTCCATCCTGGTTAGTTTACGTCCGCTCCCACAGTCGCTACCACCAACCATGGTTGGTGGTAGCGACTGTGGGAGCGGACGTATGGTTGGTGGTAGCGACTGTGGGAGCGGACGTAAACTAACCAGGATGGAACCCAGGCTAGTGAGAAAATCACTGTAACGATAATGCTTAATGATGATGAATCTGTTAAATTGATGAAAAAAACTCAAAACCAGATCGGCATGGCCTTAAAAGTTAGTATTCTAACGTTAAACCCGAATGTAAAATATGAAAATGTTGTAGATTCACCGTGGGATGTTTATAACGAGAGAAAAACAATATTCACATTCGGTTTTGGATAGATAGATTGATTTAATTTGAAAGTAAATCAGTACGTCCGTACCCGGCGCGGGATTTCCTGCTGGTGCTGGAGTACTTTGACGAGTCGCTAGTCCTGCTGAAACAGTGTTCGGGAGGCAATATTCGGCTATGAGTGACAGGGATATGATGTTACATATATAAGTTATTATAACGTTACATGTATCACTTGTTTGAAAACCTTATCATTGAATGCATGCGCAGCATATAAGCATTGTTCACAATCTATACAAATTAGCTCCTGACCATTTCTATATAAAGTTAGCTGTGTACTTTCGGACTCTTGAAGTCCCACCCATCGATGGGCCAGAGTTTGCTTTCCCCTTAGTAAGAGGCTTACCATGCATTGTAATGCGAGCTGGCATTGTGGGACTTGTCTTGCTCCATTTGCCACCTTGCGGGACCCTGTCACGGTAGCATCGATGATCATCGATCACACGGCGATGACTTCTCCGTGTCTTAATTGTTGACCTTACAGCCTGATAGGTTCAGGTCATAATGTCCGCGCTTCGTAGGCATATCTCCGTTCACGTGGATTCCAAGAGTGTGCGTGGAGGAGGGAACTCCAAGGAGCAATATTCGATGTTCAGCAGAACAGCCGCCGCCGTGCTGGGCGTCCTACTCGGTGCCATACTGACTTACGTCTCGCTGTACGTAGATCTGGGCGGCTTTCAAATCGCCGCAGAAAGTCAGGCGTATTCACTGCCCAGGTAAGTGGTAGCCTTAATAGCATGCAAAAAACTTGGGGTTTTGAGGGTCTTCAGGGTCTTTGGGAGCTTTTATGTGCTATTTTCTGATTGCATATGGACAGCATAGCCGGCCTGATTGAATTACCCCCGTTTTTAGAACTGGGCTAATTAGAAGACAGCCGAAGACCACAAAAAACCCCTGTTCTATAAGCCTGCTACGGAGGCTAGGTGAGTGGTTTGATGCCGATTTTCGTTAACATCCCAGTATGAACATGTTAACTTTACAGTTGTGTGATAGAAATTGTGAGAGTCCAGCAAGAACTCGTTAAGTTTAAAGCAGCCTGATCAAATAGCACATTGCGGCCAACTGTATTTCAGTAATTAAGTTTGCGTCTCAGTGAGAGTCATATTCAGCTATTGTCTGATATGCGCCGATGTTGTACGAAAAGACGACACACAAGAATACATGTAACGTCACCAGTCCTAATTGAAATCATGTCACCAAGAAAGCGACACAAGGCAAGACAAAAATGTGTGGGGTGTGGTCGACGAAGGAACTGGCGAATTTCTGTGTTCTGGCATGCAAAGTGAACAGCCATCAAAACAAAAATATCGTATTTGGATATTTTAGACATATAAACGGGTCCGAATGAATTTGTGCTGTCATCATGACAAGTTTTCCACAGATGACCATTAAGTTTGTTGTGTTAGCTGCTTGCTGAGGTGGGCTATAAGGCCAGACAGTGACCATGCTTTGTACTAGTACCATGTTGACATAGGCTGTTAATGGGGCGGCGTTATTTTTTTTCGGGGAGCGACGCGAGTTAATGTTAACGTTACGCCGCGGAGGGACGGTTTTGCAGGTCTCTCCTTGGAAAAATCCCTCGGCGGCATAACTCGCGTCGCTCCCCGAAAAAAAAAAAGAATAATAATAATAACGCCGCCGCATCAGAAGTCTGCAAAGGAGGCTAGCGAAAAGCGAGGTTCAGTCAGGCTATAGGCCCAAAAGGTGGACCCGAATGGTCAGTTAGTACGTGAAGGAACAAACGTTAACATCCAAACAAACTTTGTTTGCTCGACAAACTTAGGTTCACAGACTTCTAGCAGAGAAAACGTACGTTTTGTTTTCGTCCTATAGTTCGGTATTTAGTGATCAAACGGACTTCAATGGACATCGTTCCATTTTCAGGGGAGTTACAGTGAACGGTAGTGCCGCTGCCATAGCTGCGGAGTCCTACAAAGTTCTTAGCAATTGGAGCTTGACGGAAACGCCTCCAGCTCCGCCACACGGGCTCTGTAGTGCAGAAAGAAAACACTTTGCCTTCGTCAAAGTGCACAAAGCTGGTTCAACAACACCGTACACTGTCTTCCAGCGGTTCGGACGCAAACGCCATCTACAATTTGTATTGCCTAGCAACGAGAGAGTAGATGTAGGTGAGTTCCTATGCTTAGGTTGCCATGTTCGCCACGCATGTTTAATCTGTATGTGTTTACTTAGGGGGCTTTCGGCGCATTTTTTGCCTTCAATGTCTTAAGCCTTTAGATCAACAGGTATTTCCTACGTCTATGGTACATGCACGCGAAGTTAAACCCACTTTTTCTGAAGGAACCAAGGAGGATTAACTTTTAGACGTATGTGTTCAAACTTTCAAATATGATTCTGAAATACCATATTCGTCCGAGTTTTAGGGCTCAGTCTAATTATAAAGCTTTGGCTTGCATAAAAATATCACATGCTCAACCAAGACCCCATACCCCCAGGTTGGCCGTACCTGATGAAGAAGGAGGACTACCTACAGCCCATCCCTGGCCGGCCCTTCGACCTGCTGGTGGACCACACGGTGTACAACAGGGAGATCTTCAGGAACCTGCTGCCCAACGACACCGTGTACCTGGCTATAGTCAGGGAGCCTTACAGGTGACAAATGAGCTGACATACTTGTGCTCTTCTCTAAGCATCCCAATATTTGCTGGGAGATAAGCATGTTGCCGTGGTTTGATTACTGGGGAATGGGAAATTAACATTATTTTCCTCTGAAATGTTTTTCCTACTGGAAATTTCCATACTCGCTATAGTCAACGAGCCTTACGGGTGACAACACTCAAATCATTTGGGCAACTGAATGCATTTTAATTTCGCCCAAGGGTGCCGTTTTTAATTAGCATAGAAAGCTCACTTGGCATGTCGTCACATCATGTGTCAAACCTGTCAATCATATTTTCTTCAAATACTGTGCTGTCTTCTACTTTCATCAGGCACGTCTCAGAAATTTCGATCCTTCCTCTTGAAAACGAGTCAATGGAGGCTTCTCAAAAGCTTTCACGCATTGTGTACCTGAAGATCTGCTCTTCATGCTCCAGTAGGGTCCGTGGGCATCAGGGTCAACGTACTATAGTCAATTATGAATAAAGACTTACCAGCCCCGCCAATATCAACAAACAACACACAAAACAGCTGCATTGGGTTTAATAATTGCATTCAGAATGGTTGTGATTCTCACGCAATATATATTGAATAAAACGAAGGAAATATGTTTAATGTTGGCATCTGTGGTTTCAACTGCAATCCACTGCAATATGAAAAATAAAAGTGCAATAAATGGGTCTATGCAAATGTGTGGTTTAACCTTGCTTATGACCCTGGGGTTAAGAGTTCCATGCTTGGCCGATTGAGGTTATTTTGTTAACTCAAACTAAACAAATTCGAAGAAAGTCAGGGACAGGTGTAGTTGTTGTTACAATACGCTGGATTAGACGCCCGCCTTGCGCACAATTTCACAATTCATACCAGCGCCACCGACTTGAAAAGATAGCAGGTCCAACACAATGTTGCTTGTCAGGACTACCTACAGATATGAACTCACTCGACTTGCCGATTATGCCACTGAAAGAGTTCATTTTAGGAGTCCTGGACTACCTACAGAATGGTTGTGATTAAAAAAATACAGCTCGAGGTCGCTCGACATGCCGATTATGCCACTGAAAGTGTATGCTACACACGTACACAAATGATTTCTACCCTTCCGTCCATCTCTCGAAGCCTGGTAGAGGCTAGACATAACCCGATTCCCTTGGGACTCAAAAGTACGCCAAGTTGGAAGGAAATGTCATCTACACTGCATTATACCTTGGGCAAAATTTAGGATTTGACGAATCGTTTCTTTTCCAGCCATCTTAAATCGGTTGTAAACTGGTATTCCGTGGTGCGAAAGTACGGGCTACAGAAAACTGACCCGGTGGACGATCTACTGAAGCATCCAGGAGAGCTGGACCGGAAGTGGCTAGTCCCGCGTGAGCACAAACAGCCGTTCTCCTACACACGCAACTTCATGTCGTACGACCTGGGGCTGCCCATCGCTCTAGCTGATGACGAGACGGTACGTCAATTAATCTGTTATTCTCTACATTATTTTTAAAGGGATATTCTATTTCTGGGTTTCTATTGAAACGCTGGTGTGCATGAGTTGAACGGGAGTTTTGAACGAGAGATATGAATGATCATGGTGCAACAACAGTTGCTATCTATGATGTAAAGGGTCGCTTATATGTTGTAAATTCAGCCCATGTTCTAATGACCATCAGACCTATATACGTCGGACGTAATGATGATGTCATAAACAGCTATGCTATATTTCATGTAATCTTTGTAATATGTCATTGCATTGTAATGATACCGAGTGCAATCTGAGATATCACATTCAAGTACAGTATTTGATCCAACAGTACGTCCGTGACTACATAGCCCAGTTGGACCGGGATTTCCTGCTGGTGCTGGTGCTGGAGTACTTCGACGAGTCGCTAGTCCTGCTGAAGCGCTACATGTGCTGGCAGCTGACAGACATTTTCTACAAAATACAGAACAGTCGAGAGTGAGTATATGATGATTTCAAGAATTAGCAATAAGTGAAGAGCTATACGAAAGGGACCTAAAATCACAATGCAATATGACGCACAAAAACGCCATGCGTCATGGATATTAATTTCACTTGACCTTTGCTCTTTCTTGTCCTCTTTAGATACGGTTTCAAGGAGGAAGACCTGTCCCCTAAAATGAAGAAGATCCACAGGAACTGGAGCAGGGCTGACTACCTGATCTATGAACACTTCAACAGGACCTTGTGGGACAAAATCACACATGAGGGGGAGGACTTCTTTAACGAGGTGAGGTGTTGATCACTGGTTTCGCACTGATACGTTCTTTCATTCATACGCCATGGCAATTTTTGGTACGTTTTTGCCAAAAGAAGGACAGAAATTATGAAAGGAATAGCTCAATGTGTCAATTTTGCTATGATGGCCATGGCCATGACATAAAGAATATAAAGTGAACATAGCTCATGATATCCGAGCTGTGATGCTCTGACTCAGATTATCGTCTTCTCATACAGCCATATCTTACACTTTAACAAAATGATGGGTAGAGCTATAGCAGACGCCACTAATAATGATGTTCTGTTGCAGCTTGCGCGGTTCAAGGAGATCAACCAAATGACGAGTCGATTCTGTGACGTAACGGTCGTCAAGAACAGCACCGCAGACAAACGCTTCGGCGCTTCCCGGTGGAACGACGAGTTCGTCATTGACGGCAAGTTCTGCGGAGTGCTGAACACCAGGCATCTCCTCAGCCTGAAGAGGATGCACGTAGAAGAGCTGAGAAACAAGGGGGTCAACATGCCATGGCCGAAATGGCTGGGTCCGCCTCCGAAAAAACCTGCAGACAAGAAGCAACCCCAACCTCAGAGCAAACCTGCAGAGAAGCAAAAACCCAAACCTCCAGTAAAGCGAACAGTCACAGTCAAACGTATAAAATCGTCTAAGAAAAGACGCCACTGATTCAACGTAGTTGATAAGGAATGTTAAATATCACTGTTCTGTCACAAGTTTGAAAATATGTGCAGTATATGATGTTGTCAACTTAATACGGTGTTGTTTGAAATGTCAGTCGATACAATTTATATTTTATCCCAATAAGGGTTCAGATGCACTTTTTAAAAAGAAGTGATTTATATTATAAAGTTTATGACTGTCAACAGTTGCATTATGGTTACTAATTAATACTTCACTTTGTACACCTTGGTGTTATCCAACTTTTTCAATATTTCATGGGGTGGTGCAGCACTTCGCATAACGTATGTTGCCTTTTGCAATAACGAATATACGTAAATAGCTTGAACACAAAGAGTCGTACTATGTATAGTATGTATATGATAGTGTCTGTAAACAGAGTCTGCATGTATACTTAATAAATAAACATTGTCTTACACTATTCACTATACTCTTATTTTCGTATGATGCCTTTATGCCTGATACAAATGATGACAATATGAAATGTTCACTAATACTTGACACAAGAACATTGAAAACAAGTATATTTCTGAGATGTCTTGCCGTAAAGTGCTGTTTTCGTCAAACTTGAGAAAGACAGAAACGCCCTGCTTTTTGGTATGTGAAGCCTTTAGAGAAGTGCGCATGTCAGCTGCGGTATATTCAAATGAAAATTCACCAAATACATCAAGCATCCGATAAAGATATAACCAATCGGAACGATGAATTAGAAAGAACAAATGAAAATTAAATCTAACGACGAACGCCTCTGATGAAGTGGATAAAGTAATTGCTGCATTGGCAAAATTTCGTGAGTGAGTCAATTTACATTAAAATGTACCGCACCTGACATACATACCTCTCAAAGAGCTTCACATACCAAAACGCAGGGCGTTTCGGCCTTTCTCAAGATTGACGAGAACAGCTCGTTTGCCTGCCAGACACACTCCAGATATTACTTTTTCCAATGATGGCATCTTCGACCAACAACAAAACGAGTACCAGTCCAGGAAGCACCACAGTGACGACACCGAGCAGTAAGAAGCCATGTGTACGTCAGGGATTCAGCTTTCTCATCTGTGCGGTTCTTCTTGTCGGCATGACGTACTTGTCTGTTCCGTCGGGCGTCATCAACGTAACGTCAAACGTCGTCCAGGGCGTCGCCCGGCCCGCGGCTTATAACGATACTGGCCGGTAAGTTATGGATGTCCTAAGGGGAGGGGTGTATTTTGGGTGTACACATAAATTGCGAGACAAGC